CCCCCCCCCCCCCCCCGAATAGAATCCTGGCCGCGCCAGAGGGTTAGTGTGGTCAGATTTAAGCTGCGTCCTTCGCAATATACGTATCCCTACTTCACTGTATACAACATTACACGAGTTGGAATCGACCCTTACTATATAATGTTAGGCATATATATATCGTCTTAACTGCTTTAAACTTACCCATCTTCGGCGACAAATCGTAGCCAGTCGACATCGTTCGATAGCTTTTTGTGAAATTTTATGCAAGTGTGCTTTCTCCAACGACGAATTGCTCTACGGATTTTCAGTTTGGCAGAGTGCTCTACCGAGGGAAAAAAGTTTTGAAATCAAGTTTAGGAATTGAGCCAACATCATTTCTTCCTTTTTCCTAAAGGAACCTATAAATGGCACTGTCATTGGCTTAACCAAAACTATATATTATCAGTTCTGAAGCGTGAAACATTTTCATTCAGGAAAATTTTCCGCAGAAAGTCAATTTTGTAAAATGTGATTGGCCAATACAAATTTTCCGTCGGAAAAAATTTTGAAGTTAAAAATTTTCAACTTTTAACAATGATATTTTCGGAAACTTTTCTGTGCGTGGAAAATTTTCTGTGAGTTGGAATGGACCTTTAGGCAAACAGGCCTCGTATTCACGGCCTATATACGAGGCCAGGGGACCTAAACCTTTCATAGAAAGTTATTCAATTTGAGCCAGATTAAAACACCGCCTTTCATAAGTTTCACAACTTTCCAAAGGTGTTGTTTCACAGTTTATATAAAAGCGTTCACACCTATACACTTGGATTGCACACGGGATATCCCGCTAGGAAAACTATAGGGAAAACAGCCCGCACCTAGGATCTGTCGACTTCCCACCCGGTACCGACACTTTAAACAATTTGCGCAACAAATTACGTCGAGGCGGGACGAACCTTTAAATCATTGTTTAGAGCGCTGCGCATTCAAAGCGCTCAGGATAATTGAACATAATGAAGTTTAATTACAAATGAGGGTTTATAAATGAGCGACATTTGCGGCCGGACCGCAACTTTATTGCTATTGAATTGGTTCGATATGACATCCCTATTTGATAAGCAGTAATGAATGGTGTTTGAAATTATTGAAAAATCTGCATTCTCACTAGCCTAAACTTCGAACAGTTCGTAATGGTCTTGAAATACACGTCCTTTGCGGTAGATAGTCTCGCTGGTCTAAACTTCGAACTGTTGGTTCTCGCTGTAGGTAATGGTCTTGAAATACACGTCCTTTGCGGTAGATTCTCGCTAGTCTAAACTTCAAAGTGTTGGTTCTCGGTGTAGGCCGTTATTGGTCTTGAAATGCACGTCCTTTGCGGTAGATTCTCGCTAGTCTAAACTTCGAACTGTTGGTTCACGGTGTAGGTAGTGGTCTTGAAATACACGTCCTAAATGTATAGGTGATTGGTCTTGAAATAATACGTCCTTTGTGATAGATTCTCACTAGCCTAAGCGTCAAACTGTTGGTTCTCAGTGGAGGTATAGTGGTCTTGCAATACACGTCAATTGTGGTTTTGAAATTTTCAACACACGTCAATGTTTGGTTCACACTATCAAAGTTTCTGTGATCACAGTAAGAATTTTGCATAGGTAAATTCTAAGTTTTGAAGGATTTGTAAGAAATGTTTGAGGAAACTGACTCGCTGTTTAACACTGAATCAGTTCCCTCGGCCTCAAACATTTCTCACAAATCCTTCAAAACTTTACCTACATAAAATTCCTACTGTGATCACGGAAACACTGACAGTGTAAACACCAGCCTTTAGACCTCAAAACTTTCTACTATATCACTATACTATGTGCACAATTTTGAAACTGCTCGTATTGAAAACACGTAGGCTATACGTCAGTAAAATACTTGGGGAAAAAACTAAATTTGGACTTTGCAAGTGTGAATTAATTTCGTACTTAAATGGAAGAGTTCACACCGTGTTGTGTTTCTCATGCATGGGAAGGGCTGTTTGCAAAAACCTCATACCAAAAGGCTAGATTTCAAAATCTTGTACAAATGTATTCACATCAAGGCAGTAAGTTAACCAGTATATTTAATATGTTTGACAATTTCCAATGAAAACTTGTTGTATTGAATTATTGCATATAGATTCGTGTGGATTTAGGAAACAATTATTTGAGAAGTTTCGCAATCACGTATATATAAGATTTCCAAACACACAGCATGTTGATTTGTTTTTTATTGCTCTAAATTAGTCCAGCTGAGTGCTAACCCTGCCTCCCAAGAGATGTTTTATTTGATTACAAAAGTTTAATACAAAGAAGATTGTTTAATCCTGCACATACCTTTATGTGTTTTTGGATCACATTTTGGGATTAATATCGCACGACAGATACGTGCTTATTGTGCGTGCCAGGGCGAATCCTAATTGATCGGATAAAGCTCGGTGATAGCATTAACTCCGTGATATTGACAGCATATAATCAAACGAAGCTTAAGCCAGCTTATAGACGAAGCAATTTTCAACCCAATTTCGAGCCCAGAGTGATGTTATATTAAAAGTAACTTTTTGCAACTTTGAACTCAATTCCGACAGCGTGGTGTTATCTAAAACGTATTTATTGTCTCCGATAGCTAGCCTGTCTAGAATGGTTTAAAATACTAGATTTTGATACCGAAGGAAGCCAGGATTGCCATTTAGAGCCAGAATATCTTTCAAGATATCTAGACACACCTAGTATCTAGGATATAAAATCTAGTATTTAAAGAGGTTTTGTAAGCATGGGAAGAAATTTAGGCTAGCGAAAATCTACCACAAAGGACTCATAGTTTCAAGACAACCACCTATACACTGAGAACCACCGAAAGGACGCGTATTTTATTAAACAACCATTTCAAGTGTAACACTCGATTATAATCTGTTAGTTGTTTTCGATCCTTTTCTGTCATGAAAGGGAGTTAATTGTCTTATCCTTAATTTGGAACCCTTTACTTTTGGGAACGCGATAATCTAATGCTCCACCTGTATGGCTAGTAAGCACTAAAGAACCTCTTAAAATGTACGTCATTTGTAATAGATTTTCACAAATGCTTGAATGTAAAGCCAATTTGGTAGCGGTCTTGAAATACTTGTCCTTGTAGTGGTAGAATCTCAATTGCTTAAACGTCAAACGGTTGGCCTACAGCGTTCTTGAAATACACGTCATTTGCATTCGATTCCATTAGCCTAAGATAGTTTACAAATTAAAGTAAAAGAAACCTTTTCAAAACTTACTCAATCGTTTGTCAATAACGAATGGGACAACGCCATTTTTCCATCTCGCATTGGGATCTTTCTTTATAGCCCTTCTTCGTCGCGTGCTTGATGTGGCGTTGAGCAATTTTAGCATATCAGCCGTGAGTACAATATCGCCTTCGAAAAACGTCGAATTCAACCCTAGAACGTAGAGATACAGTGTTATATTGAAAAACGTTTCGTAGTAACTTTGCGTCTTTGCGAGACGAGGTATTTCGTTCGAATTTTCATCCCACAATCATAGTTCTACCCCATGAGTCGATCGTTCATCGCTAGCCACGTCATTGCGATGACTTTCAGTCATAATCAGGATAGCTCTATCAGCTCTAAACTGTTCCTCCCAGTGTTGTTTTGAAATTGAAATTGAACTGTACAAAACGTGACTTTAAGTTATCTGTGGCAGAATAAGGCCCTTGAAAGGTGACAATTCGTGTCCAGCGCTGTGTGGTTTCGCGAACGCAATGAGGTATACCGTGCCAAAAATCGGCTATTTCCTGTACTCGCATGCTTCATTTGCCAAATTTTTGGCTGCGTTTCTATAAATGGCGTCCTGTTATTAAAAAGGACGTTCGCTCTATTGACCTTTCCTTGTCAGAAATGCAAATCATGTATTTTACTCGCGTCCTTCCCGAGATTAGCCTTATACGATAAGCTGCCGTGGTTTAGTTTGGAACTACCTGAAAAAGCTTATTGAATACTTTGTCGTCTGAACAAAACGATGAGACTATTTCAGGTAACCTTTATAGGTAGCTCTGTGCTACTAATTCTCTCAGACAAAGGGCGTATTTTTCATTGTATATGCTTCAACCTAAATATTGCTTCTTGAAGCCTAAATTGGAAACTGCCACTTCAGATATTGTACAATGCTATATATCGACACTGTAACCGGACCCCCACGTTTGAAATAACTTCATATTGAAACATCTCATAGGAAATTGGTTATATAGAATAGCAGAGAATCTTTCGTTCAATGAGAGTTAGAATTGTAATTGAAAGATTAAATACGCCGGATCCAAAGTGGCGTGGTATCGAAAATGTTCTGCCGTGATTTGTTTCTCAACTACCTGAACAAAATTTGCACTTGGGCGTTTTGTGGAGCGAAGCCGTATTAATAGGAAAGTCTTACACTGACTTCCTTATAAAAGACCTTTACTTGAAACTTTCTGAATTTTTTCAGGTAGACAAACCACGGCAGATTATTGTAGAATACTACCTACACTAGACCTCACCCTTCAGGAAAAGACTTCAGCAAGTTCAAACACAAAAAAAATGTGGAATACTGCCTACACTGGATCGCTACGTTTGAAATATCTTCTTCAAGTAGTTCAGATACAAACCACGACACCCTATTGAAGAATACTACCTACACTATAGATCGCCACGTTTCAGGTATCTTTTTCAGGTAGTTCAGACACAAACAACGACAGCTTATTGAAGAATACTACCTATACACTGGACCGCCACGTTTGAGATATCTTTTTCAGGTAGTCAGTCGGACACAAACCACAACAGCTTATTGTAGAATACTATCTATATATACTGGTCCACTGTTTAATAAATGAATGAATATAGAAGACAAGACGTTAGCAACGGCTTTTCCAATAATGACCTTGATATTTTCACAACAACTTTTTGACGGCATTTTTAAGAAGAGTATCCAATTTTTAGGATGGTTCAAGCTTGCATCTACCCGAAAAAATGTCGAAAATACTTCATGGATATTTCGAGCTTCAGGGCCTTCCGTCTGGAAGCTAGTATCGGTCAATATTCTTCAACGCTAACTATTCTTGACCTCAACACACACAAGATATTTTAATATTTTAACACGTACCCTGGTTCACCTCCCAAGCGTCTTTTGGTGGAACATTTTCCAACGCGAATCTATCCACTACGACAAAACTTTTCGACTTTTTCTTTTGTAGCTTTCCCGGTAACGATCTCGCATCGATGATTATTAATACTATGGTGAAGAGAAACGTGGTCAGCCTCAAAGTTATCCTTGAAATCATCATGGTTTATACGATACTATAAAGAGCTTGTGCGTTGTCGAGATTCGTACGAGGTTATGACCGAGCTGTTCTGTGCCGTGGGTTTACATAAGGTCAGTGCATGAATACGCGTAAATATTGAGATGACAGGCGCAATTTATATGCTAAGCAAACAGTGGTCAATCAATTAAATAATAACGCTTACACCGCAGGGGTGCAATTAGGAGAGAGCGATGTTATACATAATGGTAATATAATTATGACACCGCCAACTTCACACTCAGTTAAAACCGGATCGGGAATTCTGTCCTTATTTGAAGCGGAATAAGCAGACATTCCTGCATGTTGAATTTCCTGTTGGGGTAGAATTTTAGAAACGAGTCTTTTCGGAGACGAAGAATATGCATTTCCTTTGGTGTTTAAATTTGTACATAAATGGACCATTTGCATTATAGACTAAATTTTGATCTAGACAAAAATTTTCATCATCAGCTTGAAAGAGCATCACAAAATTAGTAATATTCCAAAGTTTCGTTGCGAAATGTTGTAAAATGCGGATAATATAGCCTTGCGAAATTTGCAATTTTCAGTCATTTTGTATTACAAACGGGAAATTGATGCCCCAACACCCGATTGGGCTGTCAATTTCCCGTGCGTAATAGAAAATGACTGAAAAACGGCAAACTTTGCAAGGCTATATTATCCGCATTTTACAACATTTCGCAACGAAACTTTGGAATATTACTAATTTTGTGATGCTCTTTCAAGCTGTGATGAAATATTTGTCTAGCTCAAAATTTAGTCTATGATGCAAATGGTCCATTAATGTTTTGTATATGGCTTATAGCTTCTGTTCGTTAGTTGTATATGCGTTAGTATTAACTTGCACTTTATAATAATATTTAATTTTGTTTAATCACTGGGCATTGCTGGAATCTTAAAGTACTGTCTACCTATATTGAAGCAACCTCGTACCCAGGGAATTTTGCTTCCGGTCAGCAAAAATGGCCCTGGCATCGGCCGGTCACATGACTATCAAGCTCGATGTATATAATCACAATTCCTATCGATTATAGCGATGTGACTTGGAATTGGAATTTTGATGCTCTGATTATCACTGAATAATAATTTTTCGCCTTTTCTAGGAAGAATTGATTCCCTGGGTTGTTCCCAATGAAGCAAACACTATCAGTAACGAAGCCATGCATCTTCTGAGTCAGGCAGACGGAAATATGGTAAGGTTACATCAATTAATAATCAGTACTATCAATTCCATAAATAGAGTTTTTAATCAGAGGGTTCTTGGTGATATGTCAAAGTTTGCTTATACCCATGCGTTGAAATAAAACATATGAGATTTATAATTAATGATAAATGTGTCATAGTGTTCGAAACATCGTCCCTGCAACCTTAATAGTTGGAGCAAATTTTAAGGCATGTTGTAAGTTCACTATAGTGTTAACCGTATATCTATATCAGTCAGTTTCATTCTGGAGTCCATTTAATTTCTCAATTCTGATTGGCTAAGAACAGTGCATTTTTTCGAAATACAGTGCCCAAATATAAAATACAGTACAAATTTGACTGACTATAAGATACAGCCATTTCTATATAGCAGAAAATAATACAAAAAACCTAAACAAATATTATACAAATGACAAAAATAGCTGGCGTTTTTAGTAGATTTTCTATTAAAAGTATTTAATTAAAATTAACTATATATTTCGCATCTCACCTACGGACGCATGGTGACTGTATATTTTTTCATGTATATTATTAATAAGTAGTAGTATGACTAAATAGGTGATTATTGACAATTCTCCACGCTAATTGGTTGCAGTTGAGGTGATTATAACGCGATAATCACCTAAGCGATTTTCGAAACGGCGGACGAAGCCTTTTTGTAAAATAAATGACGAAGAAATATGTATTTTTTATTTTTTTCCAAATGATCGCTTATGAAATTATATACTAAAACAATCATTCACCTTAGGCTCGTGACTATCGTGAATAAAAACCTCGACTTCGTCTCGGTTTAATTCACTGATAATCACCTCGCCTTCGGCGAATAATTGTTAAATAGTATGGTTTCTCGTGCAATTTTGATCGTTTTTGAGTAAATCATTCGTGCATATTTTTCCCAAATTGCACTGGAAAGTGAAACCACATTATTACCTAATACTTATAAACCATTTGTTAAAGTGCTACTGTAGCGAATTTTTGGACCTAGTTTTTTTTAGCTTAAATAAAAATTCAGTCTTTTAGAAGCATTTTCATATATATTTGACCATCATGCGATGCTTAGAAGTTGCCAAATTTAACCTCTGAAGTTGGTTAGCGCGTGCGAACTTTTGCTTCGCCATATTGATGCCGTGTGACGTCATAAGATGAACGGAAACGAAGATACGAAGGTCGTATTTGTAGTAAATTATATGGCGCGTCAACATATTGCAGTGGAATTTTTGTCTATTTCACTTGTTTATGGCGCAGATAACTGATTTTTAAAAATCGAAGAACAAGTGCTATATCTTATTGTTTATTTGACGGCGGAATGATGGTTAGAGATTCAGATAATAGGGTCAGTACTGCATCTGGAAGTCAACGAGTATGGACTCGGCTAATGAACCAGTTGCCTGACAGCTTTTATACAGCTTCACTAGACGAAGTGATAGAGAAATTATATGACGCCGCTGCAGATAGGCAACTACCATCTGTGACTGTGTTGGAGCAATCGTACAATACCTGTAAAATTAGTGGTAAGTAGATCCTTTTTATTGCATGTATATATATATATATATATATATATATATATATATATATATATATATATATATATATATATATATATATATATATATATATATATTGTATTGTGATCGCCTCGGTATTGTGTCTGAACACATCTGGTGTGTGTAACTTAATATTTATTATAAACTGGATTGTGCGTGACAAAAAATATAACAACGTTTATAAACACAAGCATATTCATAGTCTAATAATTCGCAATACTCAAAATGATTTTGATTTTGTTTTCAATAGATAGTGATATGTGTAATTGGCAATTACGGGCTGTGGTTCTATTGATGGCTATAGTTTTAGTTGGATGGGAAAACAGAAGAAAATAATTTCCAACAACAAAGACACAGACACTGCCTTTCCAACAAAAGCGGTCGACTTTAGTTGGATTAGGCAGATTGTGACTGTTACTCCTCGATCGCCGAATCAAGACATACGAACGCGTAAATAATATGATTTAATACGGTTCAACTGTAAGTGAATACAAAAACAAATAAACTACCTAGTCTACAATAATTTAGTAAAATAAATAAACAAACTTACAGATAAGTTCTTTGAATGTTTGCATGGCGATAAAATATAATTGTTTTTGTTTGTGGAAACACCACGTAAATTTATTACTGCAAACTTACAGATACTTCCCCAACTGGGCGATCGATTGTAATATTCGAGTAGAATTATAGATCTTGATCATTCAGGTAGAATTAAATTCGTTTCGTTTTGACTGTTTGATGTTGACCATGCCGAATACTTTCAACCGTTTCTTTTATATATTCAAAATATGAATATATTAAGCAATTGCTATATGCTAATTGTCCAACTAATCTCCTGTACAATGGAATGCTAATTTAATTGTTTGAGTCCTATATTCCGGCCCCTAAATGCTGGCTTGACATTTACAAAATATATTTAAGGAATCAAGCGGAAGGCTTAATTAAATTCTAAACTTAAGAAAACGTTATTATAAATTAAAGTCTAATATTTTAGTCCAAGTTCAGCTACTTCTGAATATCAGGTTGAAGTTCATTATTTCTCAATACCATCAGCCTCCAGGAAGATAATCTTGTTAATTGGGCGTTCCAGGATCGTTGACTTTGTTTTCAAACTTTCTCGTCTGACATAACCATCCTTCCCTGACTTGCATGACTTCTGTAATGCGACCAAGAGGCCAGGAACATCTTGGATAATTTTCATCAACGATGAGCACAATGTCTCCCAATTGGAAATTTCTGCGCGGCTTGGTCCACTTCTGCCTCTTCTGTAATGTAGGAAGATATTCCTTTACCCATCGGCGCCAAAATATATCAGATAGATATTGTATGTGTCTCCATCTGCGGCGATTGTAACGCTCTTCCTTCGTGAAGATTCCCGGACGGAACGACGGACCAGATCGTAATAACAATAAGTGGTTTGGTGTCAACGCTTCTGCATCGTTAGGATCATCGGAAACTTTAGTCAAAGGTCTGCTATTCACGATTGATTCTGCTTCACACATCAATGTAGTTAATCCTTCGTCATCGAGTATTTGCTGCTTGAAAAGTCCTTTCAAAACCTTGCGAACAGTGCGTATACATCGTTCCCATACACCATCTTGATGGGAGGCGGTAGGCGAATTGAAAATCCATTTTATGTGTCGTTGTAAAAGGAACTTATGCAATTTCTCTTGGTTCCATCCTTCGATTGCGTTACGAAGTTCTTTTTCTCCGGCCACAAAATTAGTTCCATTATCAGATCTCATAACCTCCGGATGACCACGTCTGGCAATAAATCTTCGCATGGACTGTAGAAACGAATCAGTATCAAGACTGTAGGCTATCTCAATGTGAATGGCTCGAATCGTTAAACACGTGAAAAGAACGCCATACCTCTTCACGAGACTTCGCCCCTTCTTCACCAGGAATGGCCCGAAGCAATCTACCCCAACGAAGGTGAAAGGTGGGTTATTAGGGATAACTCGGTCCTTTGGTAGGTCGGCCATTTTCTGCTCACCACGTGGACCCTGTCTCTTTCGACAATCAACACAGTTATTGAGGATTCGTTTCACCATGATTCTTGCTCCAACTATGCAGAAACGTTCCCTTAGGAGTGACAAAACATGTTCGCGTCCCGCGTGAGCGGAGATTTGATGATAGTATCGCACGATCAAGTTGGAAATATGGTTATTCTTTGGGACGATTATAGGATGCTTGCTTTCTCTTGGTATTGGAGCGTTCTTCAGACGGCCACCAACGCGTAGAATACCATCAATCAACTGTGGGTCCAGGTTATAGATAGGACTGGATTTCTTAACATACTTGACTTTTAACTCGTTCGTTGTATCATTGATGGATTGATCACCTAAACGTATCAGCTCCTCTCGAAAGCTTGTTCCCTGAACGTGTTTCACGACCTCGTTCTCTGCGCGAACCAACTCGTCAACACTAATTGGATTAATAACTCCAGCCTTCAGTGACCCGTATTGTCCTTCTCTTCTTCTACGTACAGCTTCGCGTAGTTTCGAACGATAACGAAGCACCCAGGCTATGAAACTTCTAAGGCGGGTCCACGACGAAAATCGTTTAAAGATCTGATCCAAGGGATCTTCTAGGGTTCCTTCTAGGGTTCCTGTAACCGTGGCAAATGTTTGTGGTTCTATCTTTACTTCTGGATCATCCTCAAGGGTCGCGGCAGAATTATAGTGTTGACTTGGCCAGTGGTCTTCGGTCTTGCGAAGAAAATCAGGTCCATTCAGCCATCTTTCATTGTGGAGTAGAGCATCGGCAGAGAGACCTCGGGAGGCGTCGTCAGCTGGATTCAACCGAGTACTCACATATTTCCACTGCGACGGTACGGTAGTTTCGTGTATCACAGCCACGCGATTTGCCACGAAGGTTTTAAATCTTTTCTCTTCGTTAAGGATATAGCCAAGCACAGTTGTACTATCTGTCCAGAAAATGGAAGCGTCGATCGAGATCTCGATTTCGTTGCGTACCATCTTATCCAGTCTGGTAGCTACAACAGCTGCAGATAATTCGAGTCGAGGGATCGTAACTACCTTGAGCGGTGCCAAACGAGCTTTGCCAAGCACAAACGAAACATGAATGTTACCACGTTCATTTACCAATCGAAAGGTAGCTAACTGCGCCGTACGCACGTTCAGAGGCATTTGCGAACTGGTGCAATTAACTTGACACGATATTCCCAAATTCGGGAGGTTTGAAGTATCTTGGCACGTAGAGCTGCTCAATTTTCATTAGTTGCGTTTGCCAATTTTCCCATCGTTTGAGGTATTCTCCCTGAATAGGATCGTCCCAACTTAAGTTCTTTCGGCATAACTCTTGCATCAGCATCTTAGCAACCAGAACAAACGGAGCAGCGAATCCCAGAGGATCATACACAGAACTGACTAAGGAAAGTACTCCTCTTCTTGTGGATAGTTTTTCCTTCATCTTTATCTTAAATCCAAACTGATCTAGACCAACATTCCACTGAACACCAAGTGCTCGCTCGAGGGTTGGCTTACCAGGGCATACGTCCTTCACGGAACCAGCTCTCTCGGGTTCTGGTATGGAAGCGACGACCTTTGGGGAGTTCGAAACTCATTTTGTCAAACGGAAACCACCTCTTTGCAGTATATCACGGAGATCACCTGCCAAGGTAATAGCTTCATCTTCGTCTGCAACGGACTTGAGACAGTCGTCTGCGTAAAAGTTTCGTTTTATCGTTTCAACTACGTTCTTACTAAATTCCTCCGCATTGTCGGTTGCTGTCTTTCTCAATGCAAAATTTGCACAGGTTGGCGAAGATTTAGCACCAAACAAGTGGACTGTCATTTGGTACTCTTCGGGTCTGGCATCAAGATCGTTACCAGGCCACCACAAGAAGCGCAAAACATCTCTATCTTTGTCAGGAACATGAACCTGATGGAACATGGATTCAATGTCCGCCATTAATGCCACTAGATCTTGTCTGAAACGAATTAATACACCAATCAAACCGTTCGTTAAGTCCGGTCCCTGAAGCAGTTGATCGTTGAGAGACGCACCATGATA